CACTGGGTGTTATACGCAAACAATGAATCATGGAACACTACATCAAAAACTAATGATGTAATGTATGGTGATTAACATAACATGATAAAATTAAAAAAATGTAATCCCAGATCACAGAATGTGAGGTTAAAATTATACAAAGGTATTTTGACAAAGCACCAGATTAAATTATAATATGACAGAGTTTTCATTTTCCCCTAGTGCTCTGTAAAATAATTCTAGAAAGGAGTAGAAAGAAGACTTCTGTTCAAGAAAGTACATTAGTGCTGGTTAATTCTAATAGGTCATTCCATTTTGAGCCCTTTAGCTTTTTTAGTTTTTTTCCTATAATTTTGTTTATGTTAGAAAATTACAATGAAAGCCATTTTCTTTATTTATTTTTTAAAGATTTTATTTATTTGACAGAGAGACACAGCTAGAGAGGGAACACAAGCAGGGGGAGTGGGAGAAGGAGAAGCAGGCCCCCCGCAGAGCAGGGAGCCCGATGCGGGGCTCGATCCCAGGACCCTGGGATCATGACCTGAGCTGAGGGCAGCCGCTTAACGACTGAGCCACCCAGGCGCCCCCATTGAAAGCCATTTTAAACTTACATAAAATAGCATTCTCCTGAAGGGATGAATGTATGCAAATTAACTTTATTTTCTTTTCCTGATAAAAGATTTTCATTTTTTTTCATTTAGTGGTTTTACACACATTTTACATAAGCTTTTTTGTATATTATTTTATCTGTATATTATATGTAGTAGATACACATTTATGATATACTCCTTAGATATATTTTTATATATTAATATTTTTAAAACTAACTCATTGGAACTCTTTTGGTCAAGCAGCACTCATGAACCTCACAAAAGTATATGAACTCTACCTCTAGAAAGAATTTGCTGGAAGAATATATATGAACAGAAAATTAGTTTTGTGCTTTTACAATGAGTCTTACCATATACATTAAAAACCACTGATATTAAATAGGAAGAAGCATTTATATAACATGTAAATTATAACATAAGGTTTAAACATTGTAATATACATTCTCTAACATTAACTAGGGAAAATAAGAAATGAATGTAGGATTGGACAAATACGGATAAATATGGCCTTTAATTCTGAATGTTTTACTGGTGTTTTTCAAGATTCAGTTGTTTAAATCATTCTATCTTTTCTTGGTAACTTTGCTTTTGTTTATTTTGGGTTTAGTGGTATAGTTCTTCTTTAGACTTACAAGGACTGAGGCTTAAGTTTAATGCTCTGTAAATCAACCTTATTTAAAAAATTAATCTTGAAAAGAACTTCCTACTACATTACTATGAGGCATCTGCATATCACAAACGTTTTTTTCAAATATAGATAGTAACTTTCTTTTTGCCACTCAACATCTCTTTTCTATTTGTAATACTCCTGTTGATACAAATGTGAGCTTAAGGCAGAAAAATAATATGCAGGGAACTATGAAAATCAGGATCTACAGGCCCCTTCTAAATCAGGGTCACATTAAAGATTGCTAACTTAATTTGCACTCTGTATGCAGGTACTCTTTGGTAAAGCATGTGTTGGATTAGTATAGATATGTCTCAAATGACATTCCAGTTTGATTTGGAGAGGTGTGTGTCAATCAGAACATTATTAAATTTGAGGGGAAAAAGAGATCATGAGAGAAGTAAATGTGTACATTGGTCTTATGTAGTATTTCAAGACCACATTTTGACACAATGGATATAAAATCTAGATTTGAAAACAGAAAAACTACATTATAATTTTGAACTACTCAAAGTCCATTTTTCCCACCTTACTATTTCCTCTGGGTAACAGTTGTTAATACTGTTGATGTATTCTTGAAGGAGAGAGCCAGGCTCTGCTTTTATCTCTTGAACCTTTTTAAGTCCACCACTTGTTACAAAAAGTCGTCGAGCTTTGCTGTCATGTGGCAGTACCTTGAAAAGTCAAGCACATGAAAATATCAGCTTTTCTTTTCCAAGTGGGATTATTATTAGTGAAAAGAAATAATCTATCTGAGAAACTGTAAAGGAGAATTTATGTACAATATATCTGTAACAGAACGAGCCTAAGCTTGCTAATGATTAGAAGTAAAATGTAGTGTTTGTAGATATGTATTAGCCTTTTATGTTGTGGAGCTGGAGTAAAGGCCTTGAACATGAGCAAAGGTATGGCGATCCACTCGTATATGTAAGATAAAGCAGTGTCCCTCCTTTGCTTACACCCATTCAGGGTCTCTCCACTACCCACAAAATTAAAGGCAAGATCCTTCAGCAGGCACAGAGGGCCTTTTGTGACTCAGGTCCTAAATACCTCTCCAGCTTCCTTCCCTACCAATCTCTATCCTAAATTTCGGTTCAGTAAGCTCGACAGGTGCATGTTGGGCCATTTCTTGCCTTTGCCAATACTGTTTCCTCTTCCCAGAATGCCCTTCCACCCTCCACGCTTCTCCCCCCATTTGTTTGGCTCTTACTCATCTCTTAAGACTCAGCTCAGGCATCCCCTCCTTTAAGAAACTTTCTCTGGGACATTCCTATCTACCCTCTTATCTCAGGATGAGGTAGATAACTTTTCTTCTCTCGTAGCATTCTGTTGAACAACTGTCAGTGCACTTGCCACATCATATTTTAACTATCAGCTTCTATGTCTGTCACACATAAATGTCATTGAAGACAGAAATTATATATTCATTCATTCATTTTTTCATTCATTTCTCTAGTACCTGATGCCCAACAGATGCTCAATAAATGTTTAACAAATGAATGGACATACTAAGGAGTAAGCAGAGAAAGGAAATTGAGATGTTAAAAAGGTAAGACAGGGCGCCTGGGTGGCTCAGTTGGTTAGGCGACTGCCTTCGGCTCAGGTCATGATCCTGGAGTCCCGGGATCAAGTCCCGCATTGGGCTCCCTGCTCAGCGGGGAGTCTGCTTCTCCCTCTGACCCTCTTCCTTCTCGTGCTGTCTCTCATTCTCTCTCCCTCAAATAAATAAATAAAATCTTTAAAAAAAAAAAAAAAGGTAAGACAAATCAGAAAAGTAAGGAATCAACAAATCCAAGAGAAGATTTTAAGAAGCAACCAATGAGAACTTTAAAAAGTCACTGGATTTTTTTTTTAAGATTTTATTTATTTATTCATGAGAGACGGAGAGAGAGAGAGAGAAGCAGAGGGAGAAGCAGGCTCCCAAGGAGCAGGGAGCCCGATGCGGGACTCGATCCCAGGACGAGCCGAAGGCAGACACAACCATCTGAGCCACCCAGGTGCCCAAAAGTCACTGGATTTGACAGTGGGTGTTCGTGTGTTGAGGGGAAAGAGCCAGTGGAGATGAAGAAATAAATTAGGCAATACAATGACTGACCAGACAAGAAAGGTCCTGGAGAGGGGGCAGGTTTGCATTATGGGAATCCCTGCTCCCTTCTTTGGTCATTGCTATTATGCTCTCTGACAGAAACACCCTTTCTTTCCCGCTCCATTTCAAAGACCAGCTTTAGTCCCTTGTACTTCCTGCATTGAAGGCCTCTCTGAATACTTCAGACTGCATTCACTTATTCCTTCTTAAATTAAAAAAAAAAATTATCATGAAATCTAGCACATTGAAGTGTTTTTGAATTGTTTTGTCTGGTCTCTCAGCTAGATTATAAAGTTCCTTGAAGAACTTTGTCTCATTTATTTTTTTTAATCTATCCCCCAGTGTTTAACAGAGTATTGGGTACGTGTAGGCACTTAGCAGATACTTAAAATTACAAAAAGATCTTGATAATACACATCAACTGGACAATAAAAGATGACACTAGTGGGGCATCTGGGTGGCTCAATCAGTTAAGTGACCCACTCTTGATTTCAGCTCAGGTCATGATCTCAGGGTTGTGAGATCGAGCCCTGCATAGGGCTCCGTTCTCACCGTGAAGACTGGTTAAGATTCTCTCTCTTCCTCTGCCCCTCCTCGCCCCCCTAAGCTCACACTCACGCTTGGTTCTCGCTCAAAAAAAAAAAAAATGACACTAGTATGTATTTCTAAAAAGTGAAATAAGCCTATAGATATATTTGTTCTAAATATATTGTTTGGCCTGGAGAGTTTTCATTACCTCCCATCTCTGACCCCAGCCACATTAAACTAATGTCTTTTTACCTTTTGCCTAGCTTTCTCATCTCTTTCTAGTGTCCTGGTATCCTTAGATTAAGAAAACACAAAATTCTGCCTGAAGCAAATATTCACAAGGCACATTTGTAAGAGTATATTATACGTGGTACTGTATTTTATCTAGGCTGCCTAACGTCCACAAATCCCACTGGTTTACTCTAGTGACTTATTTTGAACTCAGTTCAGGTTAGTGTTCATTTTCACAGTAGGTTCAATAAACTAGAATACCTCCCTCAGTAGCCTAAAAGATTAGACCATAAATTAAAACTTTTCAGAAATAATGTCAGCTACTCATTTTCAAGAGCTGATGACACTTAGATGAGCCACTCATCAACTTACTCCCTCCCCCTTTTAGTTGATCAAATTGACTGCTCAGTTTCTTACCTAGTACCCAAAGGGGGGAAAAAAAGGTTTATTTTCCTAGAAGGGGAAGACAGAATCTAAGTGTTTGATACCTAGAACTATATCCTGAGGCAGCCTCAGCAATGTAAAACCTTGTGCTATCCAGTGACTATGGTGCTTGAGGGTCAGCCTATTGGAGATCATGGAAGACAGAGAACAGAAGGCTGTTAGTAGATAGTATTATCTTTCAGATGAGTACCTGAAACTAGACCTATTAGCTGCGGGGCCTCGTTTAAAAGTTGTAACAATATGTAGTTTTTGTTCATTGTTTATAGAAATACAGCATACAAATAGTAATACCTCCTTTATATAGCATTATACCTAACTATTCGCATGAATTTGCCCTCCCCATTTTTATTAATTTTTAAAAATTAACCTTACCACTTCTATGTTTTATTTCTTAAAAACAACATTTTGGGTTTTTCAGTGGGGAGAGGGGGTTTGAATGCTTAATATGTGCCTGGGATTAAGCTAAACCCTTTACATATAATATCTCATTTAATCTTTACAGTCACCTTATAAAATAGGAACTCTTATTACCCCTGTTTTATGGGTAATCATACTAAGGTTTAGAAACATCAAGACTTTGCTAAAGATATTACAGCTGGTAAATAGGAGATCCAGGCATGCTAATTCCAGAGGCTGAGCTCACACTATGGGATGCTACTTCCAAAGACCCCATTTTCTTAAATCAAATCTCCTGAGCACAATGTAACCAGTTCTTTATATTTAGGGTTGCCCCCCTGGCCATCAATGGCTATGGGGAAACAGTTGTTCTTTCTCAGCCTTTGCTATCAATAGTGCGTCCTGCTGGCTAAGTGCACGTCCAGCAGCTTGACCTTTTTACCTTACTACTTTTAATCTGCAATGATCTAAGAAATATGATGGCTATATTTGTTAAAACTGTTCATAAAATAAGTCAATAAACTCCAAATGAGCGTCTGAAAGCATCTCCAAAAGTGCATGGACTCTGTCATAAATGGCTCAGAGACCTTTTTATTTTTCTTTATAAGATCTTTGCAGTGTTCCCAGGTGGGTGAGACTAACAGACACCAGGATAATTACTAAATTACTTATCAATATAAATTATCTGTATTATGAGGTGTTTATATGTTGGCATACTATTTACTCCCCAAGAACACTGAGAAAGACAGTACAGAGGCTTTAAAGAAAATGTGAGGAAGAAGGAAGTGTGAATCATTTATATGTGAATTTTATTAATTTATGTTAATTTTATTAACCTATGTTACCCTTCCTGTCACTACAGTCAGTGAGAGCTAAGAAGTAAATGACTGCACCCATCTTTCAGAAGACATTGACCCAACAGAAAAAAGTTAACAAATCATTTAAATTTTCTTCCCCTACTTCCAGAAAAAAGAGCATTTCTTACCTTACTGAACTGTCCAACCACATGCTTCAGAATATTGGGAGGTGCATCATACAGAAATGGCTCAAGGGCTGGTAAATAGGTGCATTTTTGTAGGATATTCTTTATGGCTTTTTTACTCTATTGAAATACAAAGCAAAATATAGACCAAAGTAGTAATCAAAGCTTGACCAAAATTCATGCCTCATGTTCCTAGAATTTGAAAATGAAATGAATTTCCAGGTCTAACCTGCAGTTATTTCATTGTTGAAGATAGCTGTCAGAAAAACTTCTTATCTGGCATTGGTTTTACCATAGAATACCCTGCCAGTTGTCTTCATGTTAAATTTTAGAATGTACAGTGTATTACTGATGTCTTAAAATCACATCACCCATGAGGAAAGTAAAATTAAAAAGCATAAAGCTATAGACTTTAAATTAATATGTATTATATTTTATTAGTATAAATTGTATAAACTGTGAGATAACCCACATGTCCTACTCCTTCCAGTCAACAAACAGAAAATAGTTTATTGTACAAAGTCATTATCAAACATTCTGTGTTCTCTAAAAGGTTTCATGGCTTATAGTATATAGTCAGGAAGATTCTACTGTGTGCATTATTCAGTGAACATTTGCAGATATGCTGCTGTAGCTCATGGGGAGAAACTGCCCCATTCACAGGTAAAGCAAAACAGAGAGGATCTACTTGACTGTAAAGGAAAGCTCCCCTCAGCAACAGGGATCCTATCACCCACAAGCAAAACAAAAGGCACCTTCCCCATTCTCCCCAGCACTCTGTACTTCACAGTGACACCGGGTGTGACCAAAGAAGGGTCCTGATGTGACTGTAGCCGTCACTGCAGCCAGCTCTCAGGACACAGCTCGTTGTGACTCTGTTTCCTTGTCTTCAAGCCTGCCCTCTTCACTTTGGAAGGCTTCGCAGTTGGGTTTGTCTACAGCTGTTTTCCACTGGAATTCCACACTTGCTTGTATGTGGTTTTATGCGTCGGTGTATCCTTTCCTCTGATCTCTCAGATTCTTTGATTCTCTCTCAGGCCTTAGCCAACCTGGTCTAGTCCTTTTGAAATGTCAAGGAGCATTTTGATGTTTTGTTTTGTTTTTCCCAAGGAGCATTTTGATTTTCACATCATGAATTTTACAACCGGCAAATGGATTCAGGAAGAACTTTCATCACATTTATGCTATCAGTAAAGGCTCTGTTAATCTCATGGTTTCCCAGAGGCCCAGGCTAAGCAGTCCTGTATATAACCTCTTATCTCTTCACACATTTGTCCTCAAACAGTTTCATAAACTAAATGAAACAAAATAAGGAATGTAAGAAATGCCACCCAACTTTCTTCCACAATAGTATAACCTAAATTGGAATTAAACTCTCAATGCCCAACATACCTAGTTATAACTTTGTGTGCCATCTTAGGATCATGGTGACCTTAGCAGGTCAGCAAATTTAACTTAACTGCTCTTGGTGATAAGTTCTACTAATTGTATAGCACAGATCACATCCACTGTGCCATGGTGATGTACTGTCAAGTTATTAAGAACTCTAAAAAGGGTCTAATGATCCTACAAATTCACTGAGTTTTACTATCCTTTGTCAAGAAATATACTTGATTTATGACTACATGTACTTCTAGATAGGAATGCATGTCATGATTAATAATCAGCTGTATTTCCCAACATGAAAGAAATATTAGTATATTAGTTAAGATTTTATTTACTTGTCAATTTCTGGTCTTAAGATTTTTTAACAACCTTATTGAGATATAATTTACATACCATAAAGTCACTCATTTTAAATGCACAATTCAATGGATTTTTAGTAAATTTACAGAGTTAGGCAACCATCACCACAACCTAATTCTAGAACATCTTCATCATTCCAACAAGGAACCTCATTCCATTTGTAGTCACTCCCCCACCAGCCCTGGGCAATTGCCAACCTATTTTCTGTCTCTATAAATTTTGCTTTTCTGGACAATTCATGTAGGTGGAATCATTTAATACGTGAACTTTTGAGTCTGGCTTCTTTCACTAAGTATAATGTTTTGGGGGTTCATCCATGTTATAGCATGTATCAGTGCTTCATTCCTTTCATTGTCAAATAGTATCACACAGATTTATCACATATTGTTTATCCATTTACCAGCTGATAGACATTTGGGTTGTTTCCACTTTGGGTAATTATGAATAATGCTGCTATGGAGATTCATATACAAGTCTTTGTGTAGACAAATGTTTTCATTTCTTTTTTTTTTTTTTAAGATTTTATTTATTTATTTGACAGAGAGAGACACAGCGAGAGAGGGAACGTAAGGGAGAAGCAGGCTTCCCGTGGAGCAGGGAGCCCGACGTGGGACTCGATCCCAGGACCCTGTGATCATGACCTGAGCTGAAGGCAGCCGCTAAACGACTGAGCCACCCAGGCGCCCCTGTTTTCATTTCTCTTGGGAAGATACCTAGGAGTGAAGCTGTTGGGTGATGATGGTAAATTTATGTCTACTATTTTGAGAAACTGCCAAACTGTTTTTCAACGTGACTGCAACATTTTACATTTCGACAAGTAAGGTAAGAAGGTTCATGATTCTCCATATGATAATCAACACTTGTTATTATCTGTCTTATTAATTGTAGCCATTCTTGTGGGTGTGATGTAGTAGTAGCTCATTATGGTTTTGATTTGCATTTCTCTAGTGACTAATGATGTTGAACATTTTTTCATGTACTGATGGATCATTTGTTGGTGAAATGCTTATTCAAATCTTTTGCCCATTGTTTAATTGGGTTATTTGTCTTCATATTATTGAGTTGTAGGAGCTCTTTATATATTTTGAATACAAGCCTTTGTTGAATGTATTATTTGCAAATAATATTTTCAAATCTGTGGCTTGTCTTTTGGTTTTCTTAATGGTATTTTTTAAAGCATACCAGGTTTTAAATTTGATGAAACCCAACTTATGAATGTTTTCATTTATCACTTGAGCTTTAGGTGTCATTTCTAAGAAATTAATGCCTAATCCAAAGTTTCAAAGACTTCTCTATTTTCTTCTAAGAGTTTTATAGTCTTAACCCTTATATTTAGATCTATGATCCACTTTTAGCTACTTCTGGTGTATGGTCTAAGACAAGGGTCCAAATTAATATTTTTGTTGGAGAATACAGTAATTGTCTCAGTGCCATTTGCTGAAAAGACTATCCTTTTCACATTAAGTTGCCTTGGAACCTTTGTGAAAAATCAGAAAAGGGTCTATTTCAGATTTTCAAAATTCAATTACATTGATATATATATCTTTATGCAAGCACCACACTATCTTGATATAGCTGCAGCTTTGTAGTAAGTTTTAAAATTGGGCCGTATAAGTCCTTTTACAAGATTGTTTTGGCTAGTCTGGGTCCTTGGCATTTCTATATGAATTTTAGGATCAGCTTCTCAAGTTTGGGGTGGGAGAGGGAAGCCAGTTGGGATTATGATAGAGATTGTATTGAATATATAGATCAATTTGGGAAGAAGCATTGCTATCTTAATAATATTGGATCTTCCAGTCCATGAACATGGAGTGTCCCTCCATTTATTCAGACCTTCTTTAACTTTTTCAGCAATGTTTTGTAGTTTTCAGTGTACAAATCTATACTTCTCTTATTAAATTTATTCCTAAGTATTCTTTTGGTGCTATTGTGAATGAAACTCTTGTCTTAATTTCATATTTGTTTTTTTAAAGTTTACTTATTTATAACCTCTACACCCAACATGGGGCTGGAACTCACAACCCTGAGATCAAGGGTTGCATGCTCCACCAACTAAGCCAGCCAGGTGCCCCACATGTTTGAATTGTTCTTTACCAGCCTATGAAAATATGATAGATTATTATATATTGGTCATATATGGTGATCTTTAACTCTTAGTAGTTCTAGCATTTTTGTATGTGTGTGTGTCTGTATTCCTTAGAATTTTCACAAACAAGATCATGTCGTATGTTGGGTTTAAAATTTATTAGCCTTTAGAAAATGTGCCTTGTGTTTGGTTATTTATGGCACTGAGCAAAATAAAATCGTTCTTACAACTTCATACTGTGAATTATACAGAATTTATATGGAGTAAACACATCCTTTTATTCTCCTATTTCAGTAAATCAAGTAATATTTTACTTTGAAATAACAGATTATGAATTTTTCTAATTGTCACAGCATTTAGTAGCTTGTGTTTATCCTTAGACATGTATAATAGATGATGATGTTGGAGAAGGAGTCATGAGCTGTCTATTGAGGGCAACTTGGGTTTGAGCCTGGTTTTCCTATAAAGTAGCATAGCGTGTACAGTTCTACATTCATTCATTTTTCTGTCATTTCTAAAAACTGACTCTGTCCACAATGATAAAAGCTATTGTAAAAACCACAGTAACTAGCAACACTATTTTTTAATGTCTTAACAACATACTTAAGAGTAGTAATTAACAAACTAAAATTGTCAATACTATGCAAATATTTGATACCATTTCAGTTGTTTTTCACAGAAAATGAAAGAAATAACAAAAATTATTCATTGTTGCTTTCCTTAGTGGATGATCTTTAATGAAAATTGCCTAAAATAAATAATGTTTCTTATTCAAAAGTTAATTTTGTTCTGAAAGCATTCTGGCCCAAAGACTTGTACTTATTAAAAGGAAGGGGGGCGGCGCCTGGGTAGTTCAATCGGTTAAGTGTCTGACTATTGATTTTGGCTCCAGTCATGATCTCAGGGTTGTGAGATTGAGCCCTGCGTGGGGCTCTGTGATGAGCATGGAGCCTAAGATTATCTCTCTCTTCCTCTCCTTCTGCCCCCCCCCAAAAAATTAAAATTAAAAATAAATAAAAGGAAGGGGGAACATAATAAATCTTCATGACCTTGGGTTAGGCAAAGTCTTTTTAGATAAGGCTCCAAAAGTATAAGCAACAAAAGAAAAAATAAATAAATTGAACCTTTAAAATTTTAAAGACTTTTGCTGCAAATAATACCATTAATAAAGTGATGATAACCCACAGAATGGAAGAAAATACTTGTAAATCATACATCTGATGAGGATTTGTATTCAAAATATATAAAGAACACTTACAACTCATTAATAAAAATATAATAGCCCAAATTAAAAATGAGCAAAGGGTCTGATTAGACATTTCTCCAAAGAAGATAGACAAATGGCCAATAAGCACATGAAAAGATTTTTCAACATCATTAACCATCAGGGAAATGCAAATCAAAACCACATTAAGATGCCAATTCACACCTACTAGAACGGCTACAATAAAAAAAAAATAAAGGTAATAACAAGTGTCAACAAGAAGGTGGAAACATTGGAACCCTCATGCATTGCTAATGGGAATATAAAATGGTACAGCCACATTGAAAAAGTTTGGTGGTTCCTCAAAATATTAAAAAAAGTTATGGTTTGATCTAGCAATTCTCCTAGGTTTGTACCCAAGAGAAATGAAAACATACATCCACACAAAAACCTGTACAAATATGTTCATAGCAGCATTATTTATCATAATAAAAAGAGTAGAAACAGCCCAAATGTCCATCAACTGGTGAATGAGTAAACAAAATGTAGTATAGTGATACAATGGAATATTATTTGACAATAAAAAGGAAGAAAATATTGATACATGCTACAACATGGATGAACCTTGAAACTTACGCTAAATGAAAAGAAGCCAGGCACAAAAGACCACTTATAATGTATGATTCCATTTAAATGAAATGTCCAGAAGAGGCAAATCTCCAATGACAGAAGGTAAATTAATGGCTGCCTGGGGCTAGGCAGGGAGGGTATGGAGTGACTGCTCACAGGGGAATGAAAAGGTTCTAAAATTAGATTGTGGTGAAGGTTGCATCTGTGAATATACTAAAACCACTGAACTATAGACTTTAAATGGGCGAACTGTATGGCATATGAACTATATTTCAATAAAGCTGTTAAAAAATGAAGGGAAACAACCATGATGACAAGAACACAATAATTAAATCAAATAATCTCAGAAATACTTTCATAACTAAGGTAATAGAATGAACTTACTCAAATGCCAAACTAAGATGGACCATTTCAATATGATGCCTCTAAATCAAAACATATGAAAATGCAATTGTGTGAATATTTTCAAAATATATGTAGGTGAGCTTATTAGATAAAAGATGGATTTTTTTTTCTATTTTTAATAAGGTGCAGGCAGATATAAAGCTATGTGAAAACATGTGAGCAATTCCAAGGGACTGCTCATTGGTTCTCCTGGATCAGAACCAATTAGAGAATGCTTACAGAAGCTGACATGCCTTTGGGACAAAATGAACTTGAACATGGCCTTTAATTTGAAAGCTGCCACAGAGTAGCAAATGAGAAATACCATTAGACAGTTCCTAAAGCTCTTGGATACATTTTTCCCTACTGAGATAATGTCAAATCAAACAGACTTGGACTTTCATTCGAAAGCCTTTAAAACAACCAATGTTAGAATCCAAGAAAGCCTGCGGGAGCAAAAATAATAAGTCCCTACAATAAGAAAATATTTGGATGGACTTAAAGCCTTGGAAGGACTGCTGACAGGATAACGATTAATAAAGATCCCATTTTTTAATTTAATACCCATTGTATTTCCTGAAAGTAAATATTCTATCAAATACAGGCACAAGGAACCTTAACTTCTATTAGTAAACCTGAATGTTTTAATAAAACTACTTCTGTTAAACTTACACACAATAAAAATGATCTTACTTCAAAAGGTGAAGTTTTCAAACTTATTTTACTCTAGTGATATTTATACAACAAAACAGCATAATAATTCATTAAAAACCAAGTTACATAAACTTAGTAGTATATAAAAAGTATTTAGACACTATTTGCAGGGTTTCTCAAACTACAATTACTATTGATTCCACTATTATTCATGCTGTAGCTGATATATTCCTTTATTTCCAAAACTTAAAGGAAAATAAAAGTTGTTACATGCAGGAATCTGAACGTGATAAAGACTATTAGTAATTTACCTCATGATAATCTAGAAGTTGAACATGATTACTATTATATTTTGGCACAGCTTATACCTGCAGAGACCCTGCAGGGGAGACCATAGTCATTGGACCACGAGCAAGAGGAGGGGGGAGGCGTGAGGGGGAGGAGGTCGGGGTGGGAACGAGAGGAAAGAGGGAGCACAAAAAGGCACGCGTGATAATGGGCTAAAGAAATATGAGGCAAAAAGTGAACTACATGTATAAGCTAAAATTATACACATGTAAATCAGCTGTACTTGGACAACTCAAAACTGGAAATGTAATTGTGGTTTCTCACCAGAAAGCCAAAGAATCACAGAATTGTTAAACAGGGAAAAAGGCCTTAGCATATTGTCAATCGTCCTCTCTACCAAGCATTGCAAAGGAATATACTCAACACTGTGGAGAAATGTAAGGGAAGCCCCAAATCTATTAAGTCATTGCTTTGATCTAGAAAGTCTTATAAAAATTGAAAAAATGTTAATGTTAGAAATTCCCTTAATGAATGTGTAGAAAAACAACACATAAACATAACCAAATAAACATAAAGTCACCTTTATAAGATTTATAAATCCAATAAATGACGCACTATATACTTTCAGAGTCCCTCAGCTATATAGTTCAAGTAAACTTCCTGCCTTACTATACCATCTAAAGTTGCTTCAGGAAATGTGCTTTCCTATTTGTTAATTTATTGTTTTAACTAAATTTAAATGTCATTTAACTTACTCGTGTTAATTTTATTTTGAATTATTATTATCTTTTCTGTGTACTTTCCTCAGTCTAAGTCAATTCTGAAAACTGCTTTCAAAAGAGGTACATGTTTTCTTAAGGGAGTTATGCTGGGAAACATTTTTTTCTTTCTTTGAAATTCTAAAATTATTAAACAACCCATCCTAATTAAGTGTATGTTTTGTGAATCATTCTAGAAGTTAATATTTTTTTAAGAAACCTTGCTTTTTAAAAAACACATGATTTTAAAATGTTTAACTTAGTGAATTTATGGACATTTTTCTTTTAACGAACAAACATAAAACATATAATTAAAAGATCAAGCAGAGTTAGGAGAGGTAAATCATAGCTTCAGGAATACCCTCTGACCAGCTGCATTATGTCTTTCGAAAGCACCTTAAATTCTTTTGGACTCAATTTTTTAATATTAACTGGACTAAAGTTCTAATTCCACCTTCAAAATCCTATTATTCAATTCCTATTCCATAAGAAAAGTCAACATGAACGTAGAATGCAAAAACCAGACATTCATTTTACAAACCACTTTGCACCAATAGAGAACTTCCTTTAAACTATAGCACTGTTAGAGATAAGGGTAACCCATTTTCAAAGAAAAGCCACCTCAGTTCTTCTGATAAATTTCTATTTCTCGACTAATAAAATCAATATTACCCATAATGATAATTAAAACATTTAAAATTACATATTTTTCAGAATGAGTCAAATCTAACAAATCTTCATACAACTGTTAAAAATTAAGCACTTACTTTTACTTGAAGATCCTCGGAACTTTCTGTTGACATGTACAATGAAAGCAGAACCGGCAAGGTGTTTGTGACTGCAACAGCCCGGGCGTGCTCTGGAGTGTGTCTCCCGATCTGTCCTAAGGCCCAAGCAGCAGCAGCCTTTATATGATCTTCTGGTTCTTCTGACAAGCAGACTGACAACTGGGGCACACCCTGCAGGGTTGATCAAAAGCGCAAGTGTTATGAATCTAGAGCAGGATTAAAGAGTCTTCCATGTCTCTCAAACATTAGAAGAAATCATTTTGGCCTTGATCCTTTTTTTCCTAAATGGTTCAATAAATGAGCACATCACAGGGGCTGTCATTTTTCAAGTCAATAAAATGACTAGAACTAATTTACCTTAATTATCTGTAACAATCCAACTAAACTAAGAATATCTCTGCTAGCATTTACTCCCCAAATAGAGAGGCATTTAACTAAACAACAGATGCCCCAGACTAGTATATTATAGGTAAAACCAGATTCCACTGTGACAAAATAAAAGTGTTCAGGATTTTAAAACCTTTCATTGTCCTTTATTTAAAAAGTTAGAATCCTTTAAAAAAAAAAATGCCTTTCACCAAGTATAATAGATCTGAGAACAAAATAACCACTATAGATCCAAAATCAAATGAATGAGCAAGAATCCTATTTAAGTAACTTTTAGATGAAATAGATTCACTAAAAACTTTCCTGAAATAGTAAATAATTTTCATTTATTTTGGCCGAGTTTTAAATGATAGTTTTGCCCATTTTAACATGATTAAATGTCAAAATAGAATGATTACTTTTGTTACATAGGTATCATGTACTTATATTTTACACAGGCTTCAATTTTATCTCGATAATCAAAACAGAATTAACTAAAGGGTTATATTCCCAAGGAAGATTCAAATAACCAAATCAAATTATAATTCCAGATTCTATATAGGCATCATTTTCTAGTGAATTTGAGACTATAATAATTATCACCTTAAATTTAGTATCACAAAAGCCATTATCACAAGGTCAGGCTACCATAGCAAAGGCCAAATGATCATATATATTTTCTTTTTGTCCACCTTAAAATTCAGTTATTAGTAAGACTAATTTCCTGAAGAAATCTGCCATATCTCTTCATTGGCTTCTTTCTTACAACTAAAAATGTGTGTCTGCCAATACAAAAAAGGTCAGATCTGTCTTCAGAATGAGGCAACTTCCAGAAACCCCATACTTCTGGGATATATCACGAATGAAGCAGAGGAAGCGAAGACACCTTTATCCCCATCCCCCAAATTCTGACTTACGGGCCTCCAATGTTATGACTATCAAATGATATAAGGAACATGAATGTGCTTTGAGAATTATAAAGTGTGATGTAAATGGGAGTTGTTGTTACTGGTCCTTACAGTGCCCCATAGGGCAAGGAAAGAGTCATGCAGCCCATTCGCATGCCTCGAACTGCTGCCGCCACCACCCCCATCTTCACTAACTGAAAGGCAAACTAGGTAGAAGAGGCCAGCGGCAACCCTAGACCAAAGGAGGGAAGTGCCTCCTGGTTATTTGGGGGAAGAAATACAGGAAGCAAAAGTAATTGCTTCTTTCATCCTTCTTCCTATGTGTAAGCTTTCTGACTATGCACAAAAGAACTGCAAATCAAAAATCCCAATAACATCCCCATGGCGACCCTTCAGAAAGCACTACTGCTCTAGTCACTCTCATAGTCTTTGGTAATAGAAGAACTAAAGGAAAAGCGCAGGATAAAATGGGAGTGAAGCAAAGAATTATCAAGGAATTGGTAGAAAATAAAGATCGGAGGTTCCTCTTTATTCTGAGGATTAGCAAGAGAAAAAAGAAGAAAAAAACACCCCCCCCCACTTCTGTTTAGCACACAGCAGCAGGTTTTCCATGTTGATAAGAAACCCACACCCTAGAGGGTTGCCAGAGACACTGTAAGCATACAGCCTTTGAAGTATTCTTTGGGAAATCAATATTTTATTCATTCAACAAATATTATTGAGCACCTACTATGTGCCAAGGCTACACTCCATGCTGGGTTAATACCTACCTGAGATAAGGCCAAATCCCTAGAGCAAGGAAACAAAAACATTACTATCTGATGTGTGCTCTGAATTGCCTCCATCTAAGAAGAGAAATCAGTTCATGAAAGCTAACAGAGAGAAGGTAGATAAAGAAGGGATGTCCTAGCCCTGTCATCTTTTACCCAAATGACAGGAAAGGGGGTAATGTATAGACCTCAGAGAATAATGAAAATGGATACCAGGCATGTCATTTATAACAGCTGTATTTTTAAAAAATATTTATTTATTTTAGAGAGAGCATGCGCAAGCAGGGGTTGGGGGGGTGGGTAAGTGGCTGAGGGTGAGAGAGAGCAGCCCCAAGCAGACTGACTACCCACTGAGCATAGAGCCTGACGTGGGGCTCGATCCCAGGACCCCGAGATCATGACGTAAACCGAAACCAAGAGACAGACGCTCAACGAACTAAGCCACCCAGGCGCCCCTAAAACAGTTGTTTTTAATCAAAGTTTGCTTTATATGTCTGTAAATATGTAGTCAATCCTTTGAGATAGATACTTAATATTTAAGTACAGATAATACTAAAACTCGGAAGTGTTGATAGTTTGTCGATACTAAACACTGGCTAAAACTTTAAACTTCTGCAAAGTAAATCTTACTTCAAGCATTGCTTTGGGAAACTTACTAATAAGCCTTGAAAAAAAGCTGAAGATTTTCTGAGGTAATTCTTTCACCCTGGTCAGTTCTATTTTATTCTCTGTGGGAGGGCATTCACGTGTGGTTCTGGGTTAGCACATCTCACTGCAATAACTAGAGGAAACGAAACAAGCACAGACCTTGGAAATGATCACTGCCATTGCCAGGTTCTCAGAATGAGCCGCTACATAACCAAGCATCATGATGCCAGGCAGTCTTATGTTTCCTTTGCAGGACCCGATACAATCAATCACGGCAGCCACTCCTCCGGCATTAACGATCAACTGCGAAAGCTAGGAGGAGAGGAGAGTCAGAGCATCGTGACCATGAAGCATGAGATTATCTTTAAATCTTAACTTTAGTCTTGCCCAATTTTTTTATTTAGGGCCTAAAAACCATCTGGTGAAATCTGAAATACCATTTAGTGAGATTGTTGTATTCATTAAGGAATATATAAGTAGAATAATCCTGCTATTTCAAATGTGCAGACATAGTCATTGTGAGGAGCCACTCTGTGGTTCAGTTTTTCATGCATCAATAGCACAACTTTTATCCTTATTGCAATAGATGTCAAAATTCCTCACCTAGACACTAAGCCTAGGGCTAGTTCATAACTAGCTAACTACTGAAACCCCCAATCACAGTGTGTGAGTATGAAGCACATTAATCACTGAATGCTAAAAGACAGTGTCAGACTTGAACTATTCTAGCCTAATCATCCCCCCTTTGCTAGCAATGACTACTAGCTGATTGCACTTCAATCTTGAAAAATCTCAACCGAATGAAGATGTTAGGTGACATAAAGAATGAGGACTTTAAAGTTTCGTGAAATGAAATTGCTTAGTCAAAATATACACAGAAAAAGATACAACTTCAGAATCCACCCAGATTTGCTTCATCTCTACTCCTTCAGCATCTGAGAACTCAAGTAGTACAGAGGTTATACTAGACTGTGGGCCTGGTGGTCTCCTCAGACCTGGAGGCATGCTGTCTCTCACTACTCCCAGCTAACCTAGAATGACAAGGATGACAAAAGTCCACACCCCCCCACCATCTAGAAATGGAAAGCAGGAAATTATTAAAAACTGAGATTTTAGACTCAAATTCCATTGATATAACCCAGTGGTTCTCAACTAGGGGCACTTGTATCCCCTGGGAAACATCTGGCCATATATGGAGACTTTTTTTATCAGGATGGGGTTGGGGTGCTACTGGGATCTAGTGGGCAGAGGGCAGGGATGCTGCTGAACATCCACCCTACCATGTACCGGACAGCCCCCCACGACAAACAATTACCTAGTCCAAAACGTCCATAGTGCTGAGGATGAGAAGCCCTGAGCTAATCAGATCATGTGGCACAGCATTTGCGCCCTGTAAACAAGTTGATGTTTTGTTTAAATACTATAACTATATATTACTGTATTTTAAAACCTTAATTTTTTTTTTTTTTTTTACCTCAGGCGTATGTTTTGCAATCTCTCTAATTAAAGTAGAAGCATTTTTCTTCACATATTCGTCTTTGTCCTTCAGGCAGGTAAGTACAACTGGAAAAATCTCTGCTTCCACCACCATTTCTGCCAGATCCACAGAATGTTTTGCAATCTGACTAAGAGCTGAAAGGACCTGACGCTGTTAAGCAAAAACCAAAATAAAACCAAACATGACACAGAGCTTGCTGCAGAATTCTGATTTAAACAGCTTTATACACACTCAAATTCCTTTATAAAAAGGAAAAAACAATTACTTTTCTAACAGAACCTTAGATTTAGGACTCTTGAGACTATCAATTCCTAGTCTTATACCTAGACACTCAATTTCTTAAATTCCCTAATTCCCAAATTAAATGCCTTCATTCTTCTGTGGACTCTTTAAATCTCTTATCTATGCAGATGATCGAAGAATATGACCTTTGGATGAATAGTATTTCTTAATTAATACTTACATGGTTAATTTATAATACATGTAGTACAAAAATGATCAAGCAGAAGTAACATCTTACTTTTGGCATCATGCTGATAACATTTCAAAGAACTTTCCATTACTTAGTTAACATTAACAATTTTAGAATCTTATAGAATGTAACTACTAGAACAGGAAAGTATAATTAACTATTCACTGAAAATCAAAGTTTAGAAAGCTATAAAAAGACTAAGATAAATATGGCAATTTTCATAAGAAATTTACATAAAATAGTGGTGGGCTAGAAGACCTTTAGATCCTTTCCAACCCTGAGATTCAGTATTATGTAATTCCTTATTTTGATGAGTAATGTTAATACCAATGCTACTCCCAGTTTTCAGCATTGGACATATTTTAACCAGATAGGTCCGTCCACTGTCTGATCTTTACAGCATAAGATTCACATATTAAAAGACCAAACACATAACATACCCTCTCTGTTTTAAATGATAAATTTTCTAATTATTTTTAAATGTGTAATATTAATCTACCCACATTTCTATTTTCTTAGGTAATCAGAAGGCTGATTTGTTTGTTTTTTAACTTTATTTTTAAATACCTTTAATTTAGAATCAGGGTTCAGGATCATCTGGGCTAAGTGAGCAATAGCTCCTGCATCCACTACCGTCTGTGCTAACTCCGGAGAATGCTTTGAAATATCACTGAGGGCCGAAGCAGCAATCCTTTTCAAAGCAATTTCTGGCTCCTGGATACAGAGTACTAAAAGAGGAACAGCTCCCGCATCCACCACAGCTTGTGACAGTTCTGTGGGTCCAAGAAAAGTAATTAAGTGAGTATGGGTGACTGACCCTTGTGCAAGCCATTTTTCACCCTGACAGATACAGCAAAGAAAAAAGGGGAGGGTGTACTTCACTGTCTCGACATCTGCATTTCAAATCAGCCTTTCTGGTTTCATAAACCATGTGGACCAATCCTGAGCTGAAAAGAATACAGGTCAATAGATGGACCTCCATTTACATGAACACATTTGAGGTAGATTAGGCTGAAATGGCTTGTTATTCTTTTTTTTTTTTTAAGAGAGTAAGCAGATGTCAGCTGTTTAAGCTCTGACAATTCTGCACTTCTCAATAGGCAAGCATTTTATGCATGGTTTACAATAACAGAAAATTAAAGTACCAAAAATTTACCAACCACACTAATTAGGCAGTATTTTGTGCTATTTACATGAGTAAACATTAACATGAATCTTGTGCCAATAATGTCAATTTTTAAATTCCTTTCATCTTATAGTACTTTTAAAAGATTTTTTTAACTTATTCAGAAATTAAAAGGTGCATTTTCATTGTACATATAAAATGAGATCTACAACAGAACAACATATTTTATATGTAAATGTTAATGTTTAGATAAAGGAATAAATTTATCGTAACCTTTCATATCAGAAATAAAATATTTTGAATATACATGTTGATTTGCTTGTGTGTCCAAGACAAACAGCTATAAAAATAACACATTTTAAATTGTAGAGAATGGGAAATGAGCAGCAGACCCATAAAAATATATGTAAAAAATGTCTTTTGAGAAGCATAAAACACCATACATAGTTATGGATTCTCCTCTCATTGTATCCATGGACTCTCTTATTAAATCACATATACCCATTTCTAGAATCTCTTCCTTTCAAATTATGTTCTCATCTTCCCAGATTTGTAGTGCCTTGGTAATTTATGTCTTAATAGTCAAGCTAAGATATCTATTTAGCATATCACTTAAAGTCTTTAATTAAAAAAAAATAGTGTTAATTTTTCAAAAGATTGGTGATATCACATTTTCTAAAAGGAAATAATGTTAGAAAATACAGGTTATACTGTCCAGTATTTGTTTTCCTTCAATTATTATAATTATCTTAGAAGTTCTAGTATTATATAAATGGTTCACTCATCCTTTCATTAAACATGTATCAATCAAAGGTTATTATGTGCCAGACTCACTCAAATCTGGTACAGATGACACACTTCTACAAATTAACACTACGTTAATTAGCAAATATATTTCAATTAAAAAAATCTAACGTGGAACACAAACTACAATGGGAAGTCAATATGTAATCTCAAGAACAAGAGGCAGGTAAGAGGACGATGGTTAAAAAAAAAAGACAACAGCAACAGACTGGAATATCAACCTCGAAATATAACAGATTCCTCAGAAGCTTCTCTGGGATTCTGCTGCGATTGCCTTAAGACCAATAAGCCAGCAGGTGAAACAGGTGATTACGTATCTCTCCTACCACCCCCACCCAAGGGAAATGGAAAGAAAGCATAAAGTGTGATATTATACGTAATTTATAGACATAATTTTCATATTTTATGTTAATTAACATAAAATACGAACATAATAGTAACTTAATTCAGTTCAGTCCAAATTATACAGGTGTCGTATGGTAATATCAACTTTATGTGTACATATTGAAGGGCACCTGGAATATATACACAGACAGTCCCCAACTTAGGATGGTTTGGCTTAAGATTTTTCAACTTTATGATCATGCAAAAGCAATATACATTCAGCAGAAACTGCAATTTGAATTTTGAATTTGGATCTTTTCCCAGGCTCTAGTGATACATACACAATACAATACTCTCGTGATGCTGCGCAGTGGCGAGCCTCAGCTCTGCCAGCCACAGGACCGAAAGGCTAAACAACCAATATGCTTACAAGCATGCTGCACCCACACAGCCATTCCATTTTTCACTTTCAGTGCAGTATTCAATAAATTACATGACACATTCAGCACTTTATTATAAAAAGGGCTCTGTGTTAGATGGCTTTGCCTAACTGTAGGCTAATGTGTTTTGAGCACGTTTCAGGTAGGCTAGGCTAAGCTATGATGTGCAGTAGGTTAGGTGTAGCAAATGCATTTTCAACTTGGGATATTTTCAGTTTCACAATGGATTTACCAGGATATAAACCTATTGTAAGTTGAGTGAGATCTGAAACAGGCTGCATTTATTTTAGGAGAGTATAAAGAGTAGTTTATCTATTTATGTTTGCTCACATTTATTTCAATTTTCTAGGAGTAAGAATGTTCAGTAAACTACAACTGTTTAAAAGTACTATTAATAGGGGAGCCTGTGTGGTTCAGGTCATGATCCTAGGGTCCTGGGATTGAGCCCGGCATCAGGCTCCCTGCTCAACAGGGAGCCTACTTCATCTCCCTCTGCTTCTCCCCTTGCTTGTGCTCTCTCTCTCTGTCATATAAAATATTTTTAAAAAATAAAAGTACTATTAATAAAAATTAAGGTTCTTTTAAAAAAAAAATCTACTATCTTTGTAATTCCCATGCATTTTATCCTTTCCTTGAATAACTGTTAGAGTGCCATATCTTCCTTTTCCTGAAATCTATAATGTTAATAAGAAAGCAAACTCTGTTCTTCTGACTTGTTACCCAGTCCCATCCTCAGCTGTTTTCTATTCTCTCCAGAGTAGTGATGGTAAATGTGGGGAAGGCTGGGGATGGCACTGGAGAAATATTTACTGTGAAGGTAATGAAGCTTCCAAGAACATGGGTTGGGCCTACCAATTCTGTACTTGAGATCTCATATACATCACATCTCCAGATTTATATGGTCCTATAAAAACTGGGATCAGAAACACACTTTTATTTATAAATGATGGTATTCTATTACCTTCATACACATATAAGGCATAAAGCAGTGTATATACAGGTAAAAATACAGTAGGCCTAAAGAATGCACGCCGTACTATATTACACATACTACAGACTATTTCATCCTCCCTCCGTTGCTACTCTTTTTCCTATGGCATATCTTTCTCCTCTTCCCTATGGTTGCTTCCTCTGGCATTTCTGTGCCAGTCACTGTTGGTGTCGACCCAGTAGCCTTTGTCAGCCAAGGCATGAGTAGAAGTCAACTAGAAGCATCTGTGAAAGGGTTTTTTCTCTGTCGTCAATAGATACACACAGAAGGAAACTCTGACTCTTTGCTGGACACGGTCAAGTGTATAAATGACATCTACAACTCCTACATCCATCTTGCAATGATAATGGAAGAAATCACCAATATTCTGAGGATGACTGAGTATAAAAATGAAAAACATCTGGGTCCTCCATGACACTGTTCAGCTGCATAACCAACCTTGGAACTGCCCTGATTCTGGACTTGTGTGTCATGTAAAATAAAAAATGTCCTTATTTTTAAGCCATTTGTACTTGATATTCTGTAACTTACAGCCCAAAACATCCCAGTGTAATCCTGTCCTCTCTCATGCTCGGTACATTTACATATTTTCCTCTCTTCCTCTGGTCATTGGGTGTTCATTAAGGGCTTACTATGTGGTAGAAACCTGCCTAGATCTTGGGGAAGCAGAATAGAGTAAAACATTGTTCTGTTCCAACAGAGTTGGCTCAGGGTGAAGGTGTACAAACAGACCACACCAAGTAAGAGCAAAGAGTCAAGTCTGTGGAGCGGGCGGGGAAACCATATATGTAGGGGTGTCACAGGCCGTGTTTCCCATATTACTTCCTTCTCCCCTTTCCTGTGTCCTACACTTCTCTATTCGGAGCAATGGTAACCAAAGCACATGCTAATTCTGGTACATCTAAAAATTACTTCCCATAACAGAAATCTCATGGAGTTCATTTCTAGCTCTAATTTGAAAATGAGTTTTGGTTGTTAATTACTTATCATACTTACAAAATCAAAGATTGATACAGACTCAGATGCTGATTACAGGTTTGACCAAAGCAAAGCAGTGAATCACGAAGTTTATCTTAGGGCCTGAAAATAGCTTCATTTTAAATTTTAAATAAATCTTCAAAAATTAGTTTTTTAAAAAATAAATCTCTTATGCAATAACATTCAACATAATCATTACCGTTAGATAACAAGCAAGATTAGTAGTTATACAAAGAAAAATGCAGAAAAAGAAGGTTATATATTATACCAACATACTAAGAATTTATAGTGGATTGATGGTACCATTGCTGATATATTTTTCTTCTCAATTTGCCAAATTTTCTCCGATGTGGTTATAAATTTTTTAAAAATAAAAGAAATGTGAACACGTCTTTTGTCCATACATACAGCCACTGCTGCGTTAACTATACTAGTATTACTATTACAAAGGAAAAATAAATATAAGCATTTTAGCTTATTTCTCAAGATGGCAGGAATTTTCTTATTTTAAAAAATGGTGGGAATCTATGTCTCCTTTAAGCATTCTGAAAATTAAAAATCTTTTGAAAATTATTAATACATAGAAGTATTATCCGTTTACTTTTTCACACTTGCCCTCTTGCCTTAATTTACGCCCTTATTACATTTAAGTTAAAATTACATTTTTAAAATGTGAAGCATTATTCATTTGTAACAATTTTTTAGACTGCATATTGTCAGAGGGAATAAAACTATCCAATAGCACTTCCTTTTTCATCAATAGTAATGAAGGCCATTTATTGCAGACATGTAGACAACTGAATAGCCAGTCCTCAGACTTGATGGTCAGCTGTTTTCAGTAAAGGAACAACTGGTTCTACTGGGCCTCATGAACGCTCACTGTTGAGTGAAGGAAGGAAGGCAGCCTCCTCCAGGGGACTGTGACATGGGTGGTCATCCGTCACACTTCTCTCTGCCTCTCTCAATTTTTCCATGATCCTTTCTACTAGCATTTGTCAAGGCTTATGTGCATACAAATTCTTTGAATATTCTTAATATGAAATTTTTGGGTGAGAACTCCTTGCTTCTCACAGAGTTGCTTTTTCTTAAGAATTTTATTCTGTGCTGTTC